GGAGGCGGAGGTCCGGGCCACGGCCGTCCAGGCACCAGGAGGCCGGCCCGGCCGTCTGTCCGACGCCCTGCCGGCCGCCACATACGGCGCGCCTCACAACGCCAGCTGGCAGGAGCGTATCTCGACAGCGGGGATTCCCGACTGCGTTTTGCTGACACGTCGCACTGCGACGCCGCCGCAGGCGCCCTTACTCGCGTAGGCCTTTGGACCCGACCAGCGTGGCGGGTGCGCCGCGGGGTCGGGCCCCGGTCGCTCCTACGTCAGCGGTATGTGTTTGGCCGCGCGCGATAACCGCATGGCTGGCACGGCCCGGCGTCGCAGCGCTGGCGCCAAAATGGCAAAGGTTATGGAGTTGCATGTTGTGAGTGTGCTACGAAAGGTTGTGGAGCGGTTCCGGCAGCAGACGTTCTGGCGGGTGGTGAAGGTTACAGACGGAGTTTTGGACGAGTACCTCCTGGCTGTCGCAGCCGTCGTCGCACTAATGAGGACACGGTAGTAAACACACACATATATACACACGTGCCGCACACGTGCCGCACGCACGCACGCAGCGCGCAGGTCCCCGGGCGGCGCCGGCCCGATGCCGCCGATCGCGGCCGCCACTGGTCCGTCGCTGATCGGCAGGGCTGGGTGGCGCGCGGCTAGTCTCGCACCCGCGGCAGACCCGACTCACAACTCTGTCTACGGCTACCGGTTGGTTAATGGGTGGTTTATGGGCACAAGCTGGCCGGCGACTGGTGGTTTAGCGGCACCAGCGGCGCTATCGACGAGTGGTTTAGCAGCATCGCTGCCTCATGCCGGACGTTGAACGCGGTCTGCACGGGTAAATGTATTTTGACGCCAATGTATTTTGGTAAATGTATTTTGTAATGTATTTTATTTTGCTTTTCCGCGGCTGTCGGGCTTTGGGATCAGGATCAGCTACCACTAGCGCGCTGTGGCTGTAGCGGTGGTCAAAACCAGCAACGCCAAGAATTGCCTGACCTGTAGGTGACATGATCTGACCTGACCTGACCTGACCTGACCTGACCTGACCTTGGCATCACGGACGTGCAGTTGTGTGATCCATAAAACGTACGATGGTGGCGTGCAGCGCTTCCTCTGCAATTCCGTTTCGTCTGTAATCGATCCCAGTCGACTCCACTGCAGTCAGACGGGCTCGGTCAGACGGGCTCGGTCAGACGGGCTCGGTCAGACGGGCTCGGTCAGGCGGGCTCGGTCAGGCGGGCTCGGTCAGACGAGCTCGGTCAGACGGGCTCGGTCAGACGGGCTCGGTCAGACGGGCTCGGTCAGACGGGCTCGGTCAGGCGGGCTCGGTCAGACGGGCTCGGTCAGACGGGCTCGGTCAGGGGAGTGGGCTGTCAGGTTCCCGTAGACTGGTGGCTGTGCTCATTTGCCAAGGTCAGGACGGGTTTTCGGGTGCAGACTGGTAATTGCAGCGTCCGCTCGAGGGCTAGTAGGCCTAAAGTATCTGGCAGGCTGTGAACAGTACAAATGCAGGTTCAAACTGCGTCTTCGTCGTGTATACTTCCGGGAAGAGGCGCAGGCCTTCGTGCTGAGCGTAGACTAGGCTGCTTTCACTTCGGGCCTCTGGACCTGCGTTGACCTTCATGAGTCGTAACTATGACCCGCGCCTGTTTAAGATCTTACGATGTAAGCTTGTAAGCTGGGCGGCCCAGAACCGGTCGAAATAGGCGACCTTTGGTATTCAAGGAAGTGCTGGTTAAACGACCATACCTAGCAATCATTAGGAAACGTTAGGTGCATTATCCGAACGCTTGCTTTATGCGGTCGTCTAACCAGCGCCTCCGGTTTTGCATGCTGCATTGTTTTTTGAAGATTGCTTATTTTCATCCTGAGAACTCACAAGGCCGAAGAACCAGGGGCCCGATGCGTGATTTGCTTCTATGAAAGCGGCAGTCAGTTTGCTATGGATTATTATGCGTAAGTCATTATTTAATAGGAAGTATCTGTGAAACTGTGCGGCTTGGGGCCTTACGCCCAAGCTGCCCCAATTAAGAAGGGGAAGGGGAGGCGTACGTTGTAGTTCCACTCACGAAACTGGCCTCTGGTGTCACGTGGTTCAGGCCCATGTCCATGGCGCCCAGAGCGCTCTGATATATCCGCGTGTGTCATGCTTGCGCCACGCGCAGAAAACTGGCTGCTTGCGGGGGTTGTAATTAGCTGGGCGAGAGTGACGCATACATGAATGAGAACGGCTAAAATTTTACTGTTTTGCCGCCAGCCCTCGGGAAATGGGTTGTTGTCTTGTTCGTGTGAAACAACTTGTGAGTTATGACTTGGGACTGCGGTAAACTGCGCTCGACTGTCTCCCTATAACACTTCTCCCGAAACCATAACTTAGGCGGGGTACCTCACTATCATCGTCGCGTTTTCGTCGAGACTCCACAGTATGGGTCTTCGGACGAGCGGCAGGCATGCGGTCCCATTCCAAGTGGTCACCTCGGGTGGCGCCCGCCTGTTAAGTCCGTCGCTTGCGGACCCCGACGGCAGAGGAGGGCCGGCCGCTTGGCAGACCGCGTGTGAACCCCGCCGCGGGTTCACCCCAGGAACGTTGTGTTATGTCGTGCCGACGGCGAGGAGCGTGCTCGCCGCACCGCGCTGGCGGAGGGTCCGCACGGGCCGACGCGGTGCGGCGCTCAGGGGCTCGTGCTCGGGACAGAGAATCGTCTTCCGGCCGGTTCGCTTTGGAGGGAATGGTCAACGCTTGAAGATGTTGAGGCGAGCAGCAGATGTGATGGAGAAGTTCACTTGTAACTACTGGTGTGGCCTTTAGGCTGAAAAATTCTCTAGATGGCGCAATTTCAGGGATCAGTAAAGTGCTTAACATTACGTCACGGTACCTTGCACTACAGTGATTGAGAGCCAATAGACGGACGTTGTATCCGAAATCCGTGCTCACGAACACTAGAAATGAACGACTCGACAATTGCACTTTTTACCTTGATTGCTGCGAAGCGAATGGGATGGTGGGATTTGAGTGACGTTTAGAAGGGGTTAGGTCTTAAGAAGGGCAGGGTTGTGAACTGCGCAGAATGATTCTCAAGATGGCTTTTCAGTTAAAAACCCCATATGAATGCGGAGCACTCCCTTAAGGTGGTGTTTTTTTATCTGTCCGGAGGAAGGAGCAGTTGCAGTTTTTCGTTTTGCTTCCAAATCAAGTATACGATCGCTCAGCTATTCTTGGCTGAATAACCCATTCCGCGCACGGCATGATCATGCTCATCTGCGATTGACTAGGTGAAACTCACGCGTGACGGCACGAATCCAACGGTGCCGACGCTGGAAACCGGCTCGAACTATGACTGATTTCACGTCTTGGGCGATCGCTATCATCACGCGGCTGTAGCCCGGCGGCGGGACGCCAGCACGTTTTCATGGAACTCGCGGCCACAAGGCCTCCCTGCGGGCGGGAAACGCTTATGACGTAAATCGCGATGATGGTTTCGAATCGCGCGTGTTACAGGAATAGAGTCTCGGTACATGCGACTCGTCGTCCTTTGCTGACCTTGTTTTGACCTCGTGTTCAGTGTTCGTATGACATTCATGCGGGGAAATTGTGCGAATTTTCCTGTCGTTTGTAACATGACGGATGTTCGTCGTTGCATGAAGTAATCATGAAGTGGGTTTATGATACTTGCCGCGTAATCGTGCTCCCCCCCCCCCCCCCCCATCAGACGTCGGTCAAGGGATGTAGCAGCGCCAGGAAACATGACCCCTCCCCCCACACACACCACACACCACACACCACACACCGATCCCGACTCCGCCCCAGATCTCTCGTGTCACTTTCCACCGTCTGGCGCGGTCGTCACGTCCCTTCAGTTTCATGTCACATGCAGTACACGGCGCTTGATTAAGCAAGAACATGCCAGTGAATCGCCTACCCACGTGGGTCAAAAGGGATGTGGGCGCTGCGTAACCGTGCGGTTCACTGCCTTAGGTCCCAGGCCTCAGCCATCATGATCATCATCATTATGATCGTCATGCATTTTAGCTCGCATGCGCGTACTGCGTGCGTTCCTTCCGCCGAGCGTGCGTTCCTACCACGTACGTTCCTACCGCCACGTGTGTTCCTACCGCCACGTGTGTTCCTACCGCCACGTGCGTTCCGACCACTTCGACCCGCCGGGCGTGGGTCACATTCCGGCGGAAACTCAATAGCTCAAAGACACCGTCAGCGACGCACTTCCGCCGCCGGCGACTCCGTCTGTGCCTGGCTCTGCGGCGCCCGGGGGAAGGGGGGGGGGGGGGGCGTAGAGCCGACCTTACATCCGCTGTAGAACGCTCCTCGAGCGCCCATCCGTGCGTGACGGGGCGACGGAACGGCTGCGTGATCGCGCCAGTCAGCCAGAGGTGGCGACCCGTGCGCACCTCTTGGGTGGAAGTGGACCTGCCGGTGTGTCCGCGAGGTGGGGAGATTACCTGACTGCGCCTGTCAGGTGGGGTTGTCCGAAGTGTCCCGCAGTGTGAATTACGGCCGTGGTTGGGGGTGTGTGTGAGTCCAGGCTGAGTCCGTGCCGGCGTTCTCAGTCGAAACAGGTATCATTGCGTCCTCCAGGCCGAATCATTGCTTGTGTTCTCAGTCGAAACAGGTCTCGGTGCGTTGGTGGGTCAGATCCAGTCGGATAAACCCTTGAGCGCCTCCATGGGTGTGTGGCGTCACGTGACGTGACATGACGAGCCTACGCGTGCCCACCGTGCCGGTGACAGATGGTGTGACGCCCCATCGCCGCTGGGGGCAGGTGATGTGACGACCCTCCCCCCCCCCCCCTTCTTCCCCTGCAGGCTGTCGGTAATATAGTGGTTAACGCGCCTGCGTCAACGACTGCGCGTCTGGGAAACTAGATGTACTGGGTTCGATTCTCCGCGGTGCCCGCCCTTCCTGCCAGGACGAGAGGCAGGCGACGCCGTATAGCCTCAGCAGCTGAGTGCGTCGTGAAGCCCCAATGACAACAACTTCTTTCCCTGCCGGGCAGGTGGCGACCCGATGTCAGGAGCCACGGACAGCCGGGTGCCGGCTACCGGCGACGCCGAGCCGACCTCGGCGTCGACCCCGGCCGTGACCCCGGCCGTGACCCCGGCGCCGGCCGGTGGCACGCCGGCCCGGCCGGCCACGCGCCGCTCACCGCAGGACTATAGGTACGCCGGCGAGGTCACCGGGGGAGGCGGAGGAGGCGCTGCGGGTGATGGCCGGTCCATGGGGAGGAGGGTTTCCCGCCTGGGCTGGTGAGGGGAGGGGTCCATTGTGTGTTGTGGGGTCACAGGGGACACTGTTCAGCCACGTGGCACCAGGGTGATTATGGGGGGTTCGCGCATGATACTGTATGATGAAAACAATATGGTATGTTTATGTGGATGCCTGTAGTGTAGTGCTCAAAGGGAATGTTTCACATTTGAAAGTATGTGAGCAAGCATCAGATATGATGAAACAGGCTTACTTCACGATTGGTATGATTTTGAAGTGGAGAGACTGCTCTAGCCAGTACAATTCTCTGTGACGTGAACATGATGTGTCGTCATATTCACTAAATAAAAGGTCGTAGTCAATGTGTCAGGGTTTGATCACGTGGTCGTACCTTGCACAACATTGATTGAGAGCCAATTGACGGTCGCTATATCTGTAGATCGTGCTCACGAACGCCGGATATGAACGCCTTCAGAATCATGCTCTTCTCGGCTTTGATCGCGGCATGGCTTACGAAATAGCTGGATTTGAATGACGTTATTATGACGTCGTGAATGCCAAGGGAACTTGGAAATACTCTCCCCTATGTACCTTTCCCCATTTTCGCGGGCGTGTAGCTCAGAAACTTGAGGGGCTTGGATCTTAAAAGGGGCAGAATTGTGAACAGCACTGAAAGGTCTTCAAGGTGGCTATTTCAGTTCAAGCCGCTATATAAATGTGGAACAGTCCCTTTAAGCTACGAGTCTGGAGCATTGAGATACGGGGTTTGATTTCCCGCGATGCCCGCCCTTGCTGCCAGAGTAAGGCGGGCAACGTCACAAAGCCACAGCAGCTGAGCGCGTCGTAAAGCCCCAGTGACGTCAAGGGTGAAGGCTTACGTGCACGTTCGGTGTCCGAAGACGGCTGTTAAAGCTACCAGGAAAGCGTCGCGACGGCAGTGCGTTTGTCCTGTTCGCCGAATGGTGTCGCGTTGTGCGGCCAGCGCGGTTGTGACGTCGGCGGTGTGCATGCTGCTGTTGATGTTCGCAGCGCGTTGCGGCGCTGCGTGACCTCCAGCGGTCGATGCGCCCCAAAACCCCAAATTATCATCATCATCACAGTGCGTTGCCTCTAAGATATGCCAGATCACGCGGCAGAGTACAGTTGTGTGTTTCCCAAATACTCTTGCGACGCGTTCTCGCTCCCACCGTTCGTTGGCGGTCGCTACAGTTCACAGTCGCTGTCTCCGTTCATTTCACTTTTTGTCTACAGCTGAGCCTTGTGGCTCGCCCTGCATGCATGTCGTCATCGCAGAACACGTCACACTCACGTTTTGTCGCAATGACGGCGGAGGTGCAGTGCTGTGCCGCTCTGTGACCCCCTCCCCCGTCCCCTCCCCGCGGCCGTCAGATTCGGCAAGGAGATCGGCTGCGGCAGCTTCTCCACCGTCTACATCGGCAAGGACATACACATCGACCGCGAAGTGGCCAGTGAGTGCCCGGCGTCGGCGGCGGCCGACCGTGACGTCGCTGTGTGCGCGCGTGCGTGCGTGTGTGCGTGCGTACGTCACCCGCGGCTCGGCGCCCCGTGGGTGACGTCACGCCGGGTGGGCGCGCCGTCGGTGACGTCACCGGCGGCGCCGCGCGGGGCCCGGCGCCGCTGGGCGTACCGTTAGGATTGTTTGGTATGCGACCGTTGCGACACGCGCCTGCGAGGCGCCGAGCGGGCGGAAAACCGCCGCTGCGGCGTCGGAGCGGGCCGTGGGTGTGGCTCCGCCGTTCGGGCACGCTCTGGGGGCGTGGCTCGGCCGTCTGGGCACGCCTAGGGAAATGGCGGACGGTCTGGACGCGTCCTGCCTCGTTTGCGCGACACATTTTACGCAGTTTGTTTACGTCGTGGTGAATGCAAATTGTCCTTTGCTCGTTTGCTCTTTGTTCGTTCTGCATTTTCGCGTAGCGCTAAAAGCTTGGGCTGGTGCCCAGTGCTGGATAACCGCGTTTCGCAGAATTCTGTTAGCTGGTCAGTGACAGATGGATGAAAGTGGCCCTAAAAAAACACGCATCTGTGTTTTAAAGAATAGGCGCTGGGTACCCCAGTTCTCACTAGGCTTTTGGTAGACCCATCGCTATGCTACGAGAAGCCTACTCGTCAATTGCTGCCCATCAGCCGTGGCCCACCTGGCAGGCACATTCTCCGGAGTCCTGTACTCTATAAGGGTTCCGAATGTCCCGTAAGAACTAGGAGTGCGATCACACTCCTGTCAGCCCCGCATTGTATGTTGGGTTGCGAAGGCGCGGGCTGTGTGCTTCGCGCGCTTTAATGTGAGATACTCGCTTCAGAGATACGTGAGATACAAAGTTCCGCGTGCCGCGAAGGGAAAGGGCGTTCTTGACCCTTTGACCCTTGGCCCTGACCCCTGGCCTTGGCTTCTGATTTCTGACCCCGTGCATACGGATCTTTGACCCTAGCCCACTGTCTACTGCCCGCTGACCCCTGCCCGCTGACCTCTGCCCACTGATGTCTGCCCACTGACCTCTGCCCACTGCCAACTGCCCACTGACCTCGGACCCTTAATCCTGATATCTGACCCCTGCACATCGACCCGTGACCCCTGACCGTCCCCGCCTGGCTCTCCGCAGTCAAGGTGTGCGAGAAGCGGCACATCATCAAGGAGCGCAAGGCCGAGTACGTGAAGCGCGAGCGAGACATCCTCAACCACCTGAGTCAGCACGCGCGCCGTGACTGCCCCTTCTTCGTGCGGCTCTTCTGCACGTTCCAGGACTCGGAGCGACTCTGTATCCTCTGGCGTGGTGCGGCGGCCGTGGGCGCGGCGGCGCGCGTGTTTTGTCCCGCGGTAGCGAGGGGGGGGAGGAGGAGGGGCCCAGCCTGTCGTTGCCCCGGCGGCGCGCTGTGGCGCCGTGCCGATCAGGACAGAGGCCGTGGTCAGACGATCCAGCGTGGTGGGAGCGGGGGGCATGGTTTGGTTTGGGTCGTCACAGTCTGCAATGTGTAGGGTGGTTTATCATGACACCAAGGCTGACCACGCCGTCCACGACAGGCTTCCCGCCTGCAGTAGGCCGGTGAGCAGTGATCTCGCAGTGTGTCGTCCGGGTTCAGTGCAGCACACTGTTTTCCTGCCGTCCTTTAGCGCTCTGCCCTCCGCGCCTGAAGCATTTCTATGGTCTCTGCACGTGTTCTGCGCGTGTCTGTCTGTCTGACCGTCTGTCCGTCTGTCCCGCCATCGGTGCGGCGTCCTCCGCGTGGTTTCCTTAGCTTGCGCGCCACAGACTTTGTGCTGACGCTGGCCAAGCGGGGCGAGATGCTGGAGCACCTGACCAAGGTGGGCACCTTCGACCTCGCCGTCAGCCGGTTCTACGCCGCCGAGCTGGTGCACGCCGTGGAGCACCTGCACCGGGTCGGCGTCATACACAGGTCAGTGGCCGGGTCAGAGGTCAGGCGCCGGGTCAGCGGGGGTCAGGCGAGGCCGAGGCTGGGGCCCGAGTGCAGGGGCGTTGCCACCGCGCGGGCGGTGGGGCTCGGGCCTCGTCGTCTTTTGGGCGCGCGTGATTGTGCTGGGGCTCTCTTGTGTCCGTGTCCGTGTGTGGGTGTGGGGGGGGGGGGGGGGTGCGCGCGCGTGCGTGTGTGTGTGTGTGTGTGTGTGTGTGTGTGTGTGTGTGTGTGTGTGTGTGTGTGTGTGTGTGTGTGTGTGTGTGTGTGTGTGTGTGTGTGTGTGTGCGTGCGTGCGTGCGTGCGTGCGTGCGTGCGTGCGTGCGTGCGTGCGTGCGTGCGTGTGTGTGTTTGTGCAATGGCATCATGACGGCGTGAAATTCAGCAGTTCCGCCCCTGCTACAACGTGCCGAGGGGTGAGAGGGTGGCGTGGGGTGATCCGTGATCCGCAGTTGGAACGTGCCAGATTCTGACACTGCTCTCGTGGTCCGATGTTTTGGCGTGGTCAGCCATCTCCTGCGCAGATGACTGTCGGGCCTCTTGTGAGATTGTTTACCGTCGCTTCTGATGGGTGGGCTCATTAGTGGCCGCCGGCGTAGATGCATGAGCTCGCAGTTTTGCAGAGCATACCAACCGGCATTACTGAGGTGTCTGGCGCCGCGGTCTCCTCCTTCCGTTCCGGAGAAGGCGAAACTACAGCCGCTGCAAATTCTTTCGGATATTTTTATCACATCTGCCTCCACTCGCCGTGCACGTTCCAAGCCCCCCCCCCCGCCCCCCCCCCATTTCGCAAGCCTGACGAGCGGCGCTGCCCAGGGACTTGAAGCCGGAAAACGTCCTGCTGGACGAGCAGATGCACATCAAGATCTCGGACTTTGGCTCGGCCAAGATGGTGACGCGGGAGGAGGGGCGCCAGCTGATGCAGGGACGCCTCGGCCTGGCCGACGCCGCCGACGACTCCGACGCCACCAACGTCGCCAACGCCGCCAACGCCGCCAACGCCGCTGGCGACGACGGGCCGGCCGCCGACCGTAAGGGCTCCGACCCGGCGCGGCGTGACGCAGGCGCCCCGGGTCAGACGAGTGGCTGGTGGCTGGTGATAGGGTACGGCCAGTGGTCTGGACGCGGCGCCGGAAAATGGAACGCAGTGGGGAGAGAAAAGCAGTCTGGATAACCGGTCACAGTCTGGATACAGTTAGGGTCTTGCCTTCTGCTTTTTGGTGCGGTCAGTGACTGCATACTATACATGGGTCAGGATAGCCGGTCAGTGGGGCGAGCGAGTGGGTGAGTGACGCGAGGCCTGTGCGTACGCGGGTCCAGTACGTGCACGAGTCCAGCTCGTATGCGGGTCCAGCGCACAATGTGTGGCCCGGGTGGTGAGACGGCAACCGGACTGTGGCAAGGACAGCTGGCACGCGGACGAGCGTGCCAGCTTTCTGACCTCGGCTTCAGCTCCGACTCACCTCCACTCCCCCCCCCCCCCCTTCTCCTCTCTATGGCAGCGGAGCGTCCGGTGCGGGCCCGCACCAACAGCTTCGTCGGCACGCCCGAGTACGTGTCGCCCGAGCTGCTGCAGGAGAAGACGACCTCGCACGCCAGCGATCTCTGGGCGCTGGGCTGCATCCTCTACCAGATGGTGGCCGGCCTGCCCCCCTTCCGCTCCAGGTCAGCGAGCCGGGCCGCGTGGCCCGGCGCAGGCGCCGGACGGCGCTGGGTGTAACATTGTGTCAGGATGGAGGTGGGGGCTGGTGTCAGGCCGCTCCAGAAGCCGGGAGGTGGCGTCGACAGGTCGGATAGGGGAGTGGCGGTTGGTTGTGCACGCCGGCTGTGGTCGGAGCGCCGCGGGGTGCAGGCGGACAGCGACGCCACACCGAAACCGCGCGGGCTCATTTGACACGCTACAATGTGACGGCGTCACTGCCAGTGTCGGCAGCATTCCGGCGGGCGGCGCCGCCCAGCGCCGTGCTCGCCAGCAGGGCGGCTGGTCCGTGACCGGCTCTGTACAGCAGCCGCGGCCGCGGTGCGCTCTGCACTGCCCGCTGGCGCGTGGCGACGCCGGTGACGCTGATGGCCCGCCGCCTGACGTGATGACGTGATGACGTGCGTCGCTGACCGACCGCCCTCCGCCGCTGCAGGAGTCAGTACTTAATATTTAAGAAGATCCTGGCGCTGGACTACGTCATCCCGGACGACGGCTTCCCAGAGGAGGTGGCTGATCTCGTCCGGCGCCTGCTGGTGAGCGGGAGGGAGCGGCCGAGAGCGCCGGCGGCCGAGAGCGCCGGTGGCGGCGACGGCGCAGACGTGCCGGGTCGTCCGATGCTGGGACAGCACGGTGGCGTGTGTTAACGCGCGCGCGCGCCGAACGCTTGCCCGGGCCATGCGACCGCTTGGGGTCGCGTGTTTGGCGCGTGTGCAGTGTGCGGGCGTTCACCTGTGAGTCGGACCGGCGTCCGCGTCGGCCGCCGCCGGTTCGGGGCGGTGATGTCCAGCGTCGCGCCATGTGCAGTGACGCGCGTGAGCCGCCTCGCGGGTGGTGCCTGCACGGGCGCCGTGTCACGGCTGGTGACGCGCGTGAGCCGCCTCGCGGGCGGTGCCGGCGCGAGCGCCGCGGCCGCCGACGTCTGAGCCCCGTTTGCCGCGGCAGGTGCTGGAGCCGGCCAAGCGTCTGGGCGCGGACGACTCCGGAGACGGCTACCCGTCCATCAAGGCGCACCGCTTCTTCGCCGGTGGGTATCCGGCGGGCGGAGCTGGAGGTGGGCTGGGGATCACGTTTGGTGGCGGTGCGCAGTGTCCGTGGTGGCCGGTGATGTGCCTCACGTGTCGCTGTGCCGCCCCGTGCTGACTTCACGTGTTGCTGTGCCGACCTCACGTGTTGCTGTGCCGCCCCGTGCTGACCTTGTGTTTCGCTGTACCACCCCGTGCTCACCCCACGCGTCACCGTGCCTCCAGGTGTCGAGTTCAGCAGCCTCCACGAACAGACCCCGCCCGAGATCTACCCGTTCCTGCCGGGCAACCAGGAGCACCCGGAGCTGCGCAGCACGTACAGGGTACGGTAGGGGGCGCCCGGAGCTGGCGGGGCGAGGGCTGAAGGCGCGCGGTAGCGGGGACGGGGTTTGTGCGGCGCTTCGCTGGACGGCGCTTTGGCAGGAGCCTTGCGTGCGATGTCCGCGCCGAGTACCGCGTGCGCCCGCGGCCCGGGCGGGGACTGGTGCCTGTGGCGGGGTGAGGGCAGGGCCAGCCTCGGGCGCGAAATGACCGCTGTAGTCGACGCGCCTCAAAACCCCGATAAGCAACCTAAAGAAGAGGTGAGGGGTGAGGGTGGCACGCCGGCGTTTTGACATTCCATGCCGAGATTGCACGCGGCGTGAAGAGCTGCGGTTCGGGGCTGTCTGAATGGCGACGAATACGGACGGTGCATCCTGTGTTGTACTCTCGGCAGGCGTCGTGTCTAGACCGCATCCGTTAAAGAACGCTGTAGGTCTGTCTCGGCTTATCTGGATCACCGTACGCAATTGCGCTGCTGTGCTGTGCGCGACGCGTAGTGCTGCCATCTATCAACTCTTCGCGGAACCTGAACTTCAGGTGCCTGACGACCTGGAGCCCGGGCTGTCGGACCGGCAGCTGACCAAGGTGCTGCTCAACATGTCGCTGGAGGAGTGCCAGCCGCTGCAGCAGTCGCCGGCGCCGGCCGTCAGGACCAAACGCAACATCGCTGATGTAAGCCGGCTGATCGCCCAGTCCTGTTCTGTCCGCGTCTCCGCCCCAGGACTGGCGCGTCCCATTGGCCGGGATCGGGGTGGCCAATGGGGTTCTGCAGGCTGCTGTGTCCACCACACTGAGGTGTACTAGATTACTGTCCTGTCCGGGGAATCTGTGACTGTTGCTATGGCCCAGGTACCGCTGACCTGCCGCGGTTGACCGCTGAGTCCCCTGACATAGTTGTGGCTTGTGATTTTTTCCCCCTGCTCATGTGTGTGACCTGGGACACATCACCGTCCCACATGTGACCTCAGACCCTGTCTCGGGTGTGACCTGACTCCTCGCCCCGGGCGAGACCTCCCCGCTGACCCGTACCTATCCGTTGGCCCGTGACCCCTGCGCTGATCCGTGACCCCTCTGCTGAGCTGTGACCCCTCCGATGACCAGTGACTCTCCTCCCTCCCCCTGACCTGTGACCCCTCCGCTGACCCGTGACCTCCGCTGACCCGTGACCTCCGCTGACTTGTGACCTCTCCGCTGACCTGTGACCCGGCAGGTGCCGCCGGACGAGGCCGCCCGCCGCCTGGCCGAGCAGGAGCGTGACAACAAGTGGCATCGCTTCACGGAGGGGCACCTCATCCTCAAGCAGGGCCTCATTGACAAGCGGAAGGGCCTGTTCGCCCGGCGCCGCATGTTCCTGCTGACGGAGGGGCCTCACCTCTTCTACGTGGACCCGGTGCACATGGTGCTCAAGGGCCAGATCCCCTGGTCGCGCCACCTGCGCCCGGAGGTCAAGAACTTCAAACACTTCTTCGTGCACACGGTGAGGGTGGCAGGAGGGGGAGGGGTGGCGTGGGGTGTGAGGGGCTGCCAGGGTTGTGTGGGTGGGCGCAGGTGAAGGTCTGGAGTTGTGTTCGTTACGGGGGGGGGGGAGGGGAGCAGTTCTTGGCAGGGAGTTTGGTAGCCGTGTCTCCGTTTTTGGTAGCCGTGTCTTCGAGTTTGGTAGCTGTGTCTCCGTGTTTGGTAGCCGTGTTCTCGCGTTTGGTAGCCGTATCTCCGCGTTTGGTAGCCACGTCTGTGTGCCTGGTAGCCGTGTCTCCGTGTTTGGTAGCCGCCTCCCCGTGTTTTGTAGCGGCGTGTCCGTGTTTGGCAGCCGCGTCTCCGTGTTTCGTAGCCGTGTCTCCGTATTTGGTAGCCGCGTCCCCGTGTTTGATAGCCGCTTCTCCGTGTTTGGTAGCCGCTTCTCCGTGTTTGGTAGCCGTGTCTCCGTGTTTCCTAGTCGCGTCTCCGTGTTTGGTAGCCGTGTCTCCGTGTTTGGTAGCCGCGTCTCCGCGTTTCGTGGCCGCGTCTTCGTGTTTGGTAGCTGCTTCTCCGTGTTTGGTAGCCTTGTCTCCGTGTTTGGTACCCATGCCCTCCCTTTGCACGCCGCCCGATGTCGGGATACAGGCTGGCCCCGCCCTGAGCCCCCAGCCAGCGGTGCCTGCCCGTCGCCCCTCGCTGACCCCCCCCCCCCCCCTCCCCTGCAGCCGGGCCGCACCTACTACCTCGAGGACACGGACGGCTACGCGCTCGAGTGGGTGAAGGCCATTGAGGAGGTGCGGCTGCACGCGTATGGCGATTGACGCCGGCTCCCCGCTAGCTGCTGACGCTGGCGGGCCGGCTCCGGCGGCCACGGCCGAGACGGCGCGCCCCCGCCGCCGAGGGCCGCTCGGGTCGGCCGGGCTGCGGCGGCGCGGCGCGGCGGTCTCCGGACGTCCCCGCGGCGGCGGGTGACGGGGCACGGGTGGGCGCGCGAGCTCCGGAGCAGGCTCGGTCGTGCCGTCAGAGGGCGCGGTGGGGGCGGCCGGTCCCGGCTGCACCCGGCGCAGCCAGGCGAAATTGTACATACATGCATTGACTACGCGCATTGACTACGCGTATGAATAGCGTCTTTCCAGTTGTTGCGCGCCGTAGTGGCCGTGTTGGCGGTGCCGGGCGCCGGGCGCCGATCTGTGAGGCTCGACGCGCTCTCTGCGGCGCGCCCCTGTCGGTGTCATCCACGCGCTGTGTCGGTCTCCAACGCGCAATCTCTCACCTTCCGAACCAGTCCCCTCGAAACACAGCCGAGCGTACAGCGCTCGGGCGCTGATGCTGCACAATGCAACTGCGCCGCGTCTTGTCGCGGTTAGCCGTCGTGGTCGTCTGCCCGCGGGCTGGCACCGCCGGATGCCTGGTTAGAGGCTAGAGTTGGCGAGCGTCATAGCCTCGTGGCGGCTGGCGCCGCGCGCGGGGTTGCGGCGGCGGCGACTCGTGTCGCGTGACCGACCTGTCTCGCGTGTCGGGCGCCGATTGGTGGACGGGATGGCGGAAGCCACTGACTTCACTTGCTTCACTGTAGCCTCTATCGAGGCGTGTGCAATAGCGGGATTTCGTGGAGCTCAGTCCGCGTGCTGTTTTCACCGTGTGTCCTCCCTCTGTCCGGCCGAGTCGATAGTGACAAATATGTGAGCGAAGTGCTGTTACCAGAAGATGAGGCGAGCAATGCAGGGGGGGTGCGCGCTGCTGGTGTCAGCAGTCGCCCTGGCTTCCGACCGACCCTGGGCTGCCTGGACGGTGGAAATGTGCGATACAAGAAGTTGTGTAGAGGTCGGGGAGTTATGTGCGTCAGTTGGTCGTTGGCTGGCCGTGGGGAGCGTATAGCGATGGAGGTATGCGCGCGTTCTCACGTAACTCATACTTTTCCGAACCATTTGCGTTCTGCGTTTATGCGAATGGGGTGACGTGAACATACTGTCGCGAAAGTGCGAGACTCTGTACCGATTTGTTGTCAGTGATGCCGAAACTGCACAGTCCACCGCGTTCTTTATTCATGGAAACCTCGCAAGAATGACGTGAACTCTCTCTCATATTCGCCAGAGCGTGGATTCTGCGCCATATTGGGCGTCTTCGGCGCGACAAGCGTGGGCGATTTGGGGGTTGTGGCGACATGGTATCTTACGCACGGATGGCGGGACGGTGCGAGGAGCAGCGACCGGTCCCTGAGACTGGTGAGATGCAGCTCTCTCTGGTGAGAGCGGCGACTGGTGAGATGGAACTCGGATTTCGGCCGGCCGCACGCGCCGGCTGTTGTACCTATTTATTTAACCGTCTGGAAATACAAGTGGAGCGAGTGCCGTTCGCCGCCTGTCAGTGAGATTCAGCGACGAGGCGCCGCGGCGGCGACCGGGCGCGAGGTTATGATTGTTACGCTCTCGGTGCGGGGGCTCTTGCACGTGGCCTCACGTGCACCTGTCACCAGTTACAATCTTGCACTAGTGCAGAGGGTAATCCACACTGGTGCAGCTCCGGCTTTCAGATGGGATTTAGTTTTTCTAAGGGCTGCTTACGGGACAGGGCGCTGTAATAAGATGGCAAAAGCTCTTGTTTCGAAAGCTGTGTACTTAAAGTAAGGACTTAAAGTGGACTTAAAGTAAAGTAAGTAAGGGAGACTGGGTCTGAAGGTCTGATAGTCAGCTCAGACTTAACGCTTTACTTTTGTTGGTCATGTTTGATTCAGGAATGCTGTTCTTTTTATGCGTGGCTGGCGTGTCATCGTGTTTCGAACCGAATATCCGTGGCCGCACAGATCAAGATAGCCCAAAAATCTAACCGAAATAACAATGGTTTCAGCATCGGCTGTATCACGGTTATTCTGTATTTTAGATAAAAAGTTTCACAATATCCGGCACGTTGCTCTACGTGCCCCGATACAGAGGCGCTTTATTGAAATTTCTGGTTGGGTGCTCGTACGCGATACACTTTCGTTTGCCACATATCCTATTCCTGTAAGACTACGTGCGTGAACAGTACCGTTTGGATTGCCGTTAGACAAGCGAACAGGGAATCGCCTGGTGTCCGAGGTGCAGAAGCACGTACCACGTGCCACGTGCACAGAAGCGGCCAACACAAACTTCCCCGTTATGTCCATTTGGCTAGTTTTTCACCTTTTTTAGTTTTACCAAAGCTCGGTAGCCCGAGCATGCAGAGGCACGAATTCAATTTCAGTACGCTGGTCGACGTGCCCTCGTAGATTCATGTGCCCGGCACGAGTTTTTGCGACTCAGGTTGCGCCGATAACCGCCGGACAAGCCGAGAATGTCGGCATTTGGAATGTCACGTCGAGCGAAAATAATCGCAGCGGGTACGGCAAAATGACGCTCGGAATGCGGTAGGTTTTCGGCGAATCTCATTGCTACGGCAAGGCTGCACTCCCATTAGGGCTTCGCGTGGTGTGTTTTGAAGTTAAAGAAGAGCGCAACACAAAAAACTAGCGGCAGTATTGACATGCGGCGGCGGCGAACATGGTGAGATCTAAAATTGGCAGTGGTAGCGAGTGGCGTGTTCTTGAACTTTTGGAACGCATAATAGCGCTCCAGACGGAGGAAATGTGGAGAGCAGGATTTGAACGTCCCTAGTGGTCAGCACATTACCCTCGGTTCCCGTCGGGGCATACCGACATTCGGGTCGACCAGGGAATCACGGCATCCCAGCATTCGGGTCGGCCAGGAAATCACGGCATCCCGGCATTCGGGTCGGCCAGGGAATCACGGTATCCCGGCATTCGGGTCGACCAGGAAATCACGGCATCCCGGCATTCGGGTCGGCCAGGGAATCACGGCATCCCGGCATTCGGATCGACCAGGGAATCACGGCATCCCGGCATTCGGATCGACCAGGGAATCACGGCTTGCTGGCATTCGGGTCGGCCAGGGAATCACGGCATCCCGGCATTCAGGTCGACCAGGGAATCTCGGCATCCCGGCATGCGGGTCGGCCAGGAAATCACGGCACCTCGGCATTCGGATTGGGCAGGGAATCCCACAGATGGTGTTGAATGTGCCCCGAGATAATGCAAACAGAAATCGTCCATGGTACTTCGCTGCGTAACAAAGCAAGCTCACCAGAACTTGCAGCTCATTAATTCTGTGTCCAAACCAAACGTGCTGATCGTGGACAAAAAAGGAAAGAGGCCTTTGGAAGTTTTGCGCATGACATTGCAGAAATACGTCCCTGGCACCTATTTATACGCACACGACCATGCAGACGCATACGGCCTTTGAAAGGTAACAACCGTTCAATGCCATTCCTACACTTACACCCCTATCACGGCGTAGTAATTTGCTCTGACCATCTCATGTCAGGTTCCAACAATAATGCATGCAAGACACGTTTTACATCAATTTGATCTACCTGGTCCAGAGATAAAAAACAAGGCAAACTCGTTAGGCTATCAGTTTGCAGTAACTTGAAGATTTTACTACTCATTAAGAAGTTCGGTTTTTTAGTCATGAAGTGACTTTCAGTCACAAAAACTCGTTTTGAACTATAACAGGAGCAGCAGGGCGGTGGGAGAAAACTGCGACGCGTCCCTCAGACAGCTGGGCAAATCAATGCCACACTTCCACCCATTCGGACTTTACATTTCGCGAGGCTTATTTGACGCAGTCGCATTGTCAAGAAAGGGACAGATTGCCCATATAAAAGCTAGACCCACTATACCCTACTGCTGCAGCATGCTTGTGTGCCATAGAGCCCATGCTGTGATCAAAATATTGCAAATTATCTTTTTACGAAGAGACGGATCGGACAAAAATACATGCCAGGGGTATCTGGAGAGTACGCTGCAGCTTACTCATGTTTTATCAAACATCGGCATGCTGTAATCGCAGCGGCAGGGTCAAGGCTGCTGTTTTGCAAAATAAATCGTGAAAACCAAGCGGTGAAAATGACGAGATCCTTACAAAGATACGCCAGCGAATACGTTTACCGCCGGATGCACTACTAAGTGATATCTATTTGGCCGCTGGAGTAATCATAATAATTTAAATTCACTAGTCGAACTTCGCATTTTCCAGTCCATCCTACGGTGCCGCAGTGCCACCTGGTAACCGTGCGGAAGTGATGTGTGGGACAGCATGGATCCGATGTAATATCGCACTACATCGGAGCATAATCCAAGCTTCCACCGCTTCGCGAACCGTCCGTTGAACGGCGCCACCGTCGCCGGCAGGCTAGCGGTTGGCGGCCAGGTGCGGCCGGACGCGCGTCACCAAACGGCGCCACCTGTGCCGTCGGCTGGGGACACGCCCGGCCAAACGGCGCACCAGCTCCGCACCAGCTGTCGGCGCGCGAGGGAGGGGGGGGGGGGGGGGCAGCCGTGTGGCCATTTACGACGCAGTCTCTCATCTTCCTGTTTTTTCCCACGCGACTGCCGCAGCTGCAGTCTTCTACGTCGACCGCCGCGCCGGTCCGGGCGACCCGCGGAGGCGAGCTTGTGTGCCGGGGCAAGACCCAGCTTCATTCTCACGAGCGGAATTCACTGCACCGCAACTTGACCCCACAGCCCATGCCTCAAAACCTAGCCAGATCGGGAGGGACCTAAGCCCGCATCACCACGACCTGTGCGTTGCTAGGAACATAGACGGAACTAAAAACTTGTTTGTGGATGACCAGCTGGTCACGTGGCCTGGCCGTGGCCGCTGTGTGCTTGAATCGACCGGCGAGTGAGCTCTGTCCGGCTCTGCGGCGGTGGAGCTATGTCCGACGGGCGCCAGCTCCGTCTCAGGACGCGGTCCACTGAGTCCGAGCTAGAGTCGACTGGCTGGTCCATACTCCGCAGATGGATAGCGGCAGGGACGCGAAGTTAATCTTAGATCCGCAGTTGGAACGCGGAGCTAGAAGTACACCGATAGATTGATCGATGAATTTGATTGCGGATGATTGCATTGATCGCATTACATGGCATTGATTGCATTACATTGCATTACATTGCATTGATTGCATTACATTACATCGCATTGCGTTGCATTGCATTGCATTACATTGATTACATTGCGTTACATTACATTACATTACATTGATTGCAGATGATGATTTGATGATTACAAATCGACAACGGCAGGAGTACGCTGTCAATTTTAAACCGGAGCTTGAACCTTGGAGCTAAAAGCCTTACTAAATGTTCACAAAGACATAGTAGGCCCTACTGCTGTTCCTCACACTCCTGCACACGCCGTGTTTTCTGGCACCTAACATAGTGTTTGGCCTCGATCGTCACAGCATTGACCTATTGACCGCAGTGACGTAACTATGGGAACGGGATTTGGGGGGTCATCCCGGCTGGCCGTGGCGGAGGCTCCTCAGGACCGAAGGTTTTAGTCCCTTTTAGCAGTTTAAGACGCACGTAGCTATTTAGAATATTCCAAATGGGCTTCGATACGTGAGAATAAGGCCCCAGCATAACCAGATCACCTCATCGAAAGTCAGGTCACAGGCGATGCAATAAGAGCACTTTGTCAAGAAGACTTCATTAATGCCCAATTTGGCCCTCCTGGGCCAATCCCTGGCTACGCCACTGCTCAGCCGGGCTTACGCCGGCTGTACCGACCGTTTCTGAGCCTGCCGCGACCGACCAAGGGCAGCGTTTGCGTACAGCCGCGCAGTTCGCTCGCCTCACCCCGTGCTCAATAACGAGACCTCGGAGGGCAAGATGATGTCAGGTGCTTTACTTTTACTCCCTCCACCAGGGGGGGGGGCCTGGTGGCGCCTCTGCCGGGTACGCGTGACAAGCCTGGGTGTCGCTACATTCTCTCCCCGAGCTGGGCTCCTGGTGACGCCCCTGCCGGGCGCGCGTGGCGAGGGTGCGAGACAGCTGCCTCCGACAGCAGCAGCCGGTCTGTGCGTCACCCCAGGGGGGGGGGGGCAGTGTCCCACCGGTGCCCCAACAGTGTCCCGGCAGCAGGGAGCCAGCGCACCAGGACATGGCCCTCAGCCACCCGGCAGTGTTGAATCGGCGACCGCTTTGAATCTGATCACAGCAGCAGGAGGGTCCTCAACATCATCCAGTGCTCGCGCTCTCAAGAACTCTGCTGCCGCCAGCGCGACAGAGGCACCATGTGAGCCCGACGCCGTGTCCCTTGGAAGTCCGCATCTGAGCCTGCATTTAGAGTGAGTTCTATATGAGAGGGGTAGAGGCTTGGCAAGCATGGTAGTGGTGGTAGGTAGTGGTAGGGGTTTTAGGGCGCATCGACTGCTGAAGGTCATGCAGCGTAGGTAGTGGTAGTGGTAGTCGTAGTGGTAGTGGTAATCGTAGTCGCAGTGGTAGCGGTAGTGGTAGTGCACGCGCGGAAATTCCCTGCGATCGATTTGCGATCGATTACGATGTCCCTGGTTACAATTACTAGGCATCGTGGAATTCGTCAGATTCTTCAACTGGGTTTCTACGATGCGTTTTATTCCCACCACGGCGGCCACACGCCTTCTGAGCCATGCGCACGAGACAACGTCCGCTTTTTTGCTGGGAAGACACGTGCTTACCAAACCCGCTCTCTCAGCCCAGCGGCGTCCCACCTTTCCGTCGGTGTCCTGGTGCCCACAGAGCTAGGCAGGATCCCCGAAGCGAACCCTCGGGCACCGGAAATCGAGCTATGCTGAAATGTAAAAAACTGATCAAAAACCCGGCACCAGCGAGCTCTGCTAATCGCTCACCTTGGAATGGGAGGTTTTTCACCTGTATCTCACTTCAAGCTACAAATGCGAGCTAGTGTGAGAACATGCAGCAAAAGTGCCGGTAAAATAAATCTGCACACATTTTTCCTTTTAATCACACGAAAACCCTTTGTTCACGTGAACTTTCAACCCTATTATCTATACAAGTCTGCATCCATCTGGTTTTCCAATTTAGCCGATCTGGTGTTACTTCCCGCATGGTTACCACGTGAAAACATTTTTGAAAACATTTTGTGCATGAAACACATGAAAAACACATGAAAACATTTTAAAGAAACAAACATGTGAAACATGTTTCATGCTTCATGTTTCATGTGAAACAAACACAAGAAAACATTTTACCGTGCCGGAGTTCATAAAAAATTCCCAAATGTCGACCACGGCGCTCACGACCTGCAGCCAATAACCCACACAATGCACGACCCCTCCATCTCAGTGGACATCTGGCGATCCTGAACTGTCCTTCGGACTCGCCAGGACGTGTGAGACCTGCTCGCCGTCTCCGGTGCCGCTCCTACACGGTCTGTGTGATGTTTGGTGATCTCGGGCTCAAGCGTCAAAATAGCACAGAGTGTACACCTACGGCTCGCAGACCGGCTCAGTGGTCGTCAGTGTGTTTTGTGGTTTATCTTCCCCCGATCTCCCGAGAATGTCAGCGATGATCAGGAGTGGATGGCCGACACGGGGCTCTTATACAGGGCCGGATCCTGTATCATGCCAGGTCTTTACCGAGACTCTAAGCATCCAAGGTCATAGAAAGGCGCAATGGCATCGGTGAACCCTGTCCCGTCTATTCATACAACATATTCTGTAGATGGCTGTTCAGTCTGGCAGGAAGGATATTCAGTCACGCATGTGGGTGTTGATCACTCGCAATTATCTTCAGAGATTCACACCTCCCATGTCAGGTCATTTCCATCAGTCTGCCTACAATTGGGGAATCAGGGCTAGAAAACGCTCAGTCACGTGAAAACGACTGAACACCGCACCCGTCGTGGACAGATTCAAGTCACCTATCGAAGAGCAGTTTACATCACGAACCCGATGTGTGAAGAATCCACTGGGTCGCCGACGCCCGGGAGTGTTGCGGGGCAGTCTAACCGGCCGGGCGGCTGCGGGCTCGGGTGGGGATGGGTGTGAAGGGACAGAACAGAACCGGTAACCAACACCGTGCAGGACGGCACGGCCAAGAACAGGCATGGACTCATGTAGGAAGTTGGAAGGAAGGAAGAGGAGAGAGAAAGAGAGAGAGAGAAGAGAGAGAGAGAGAGAGAGAGAGAGGGAGAGAGAGAAGAGAGAGAGAGAGGAGAGAGAGAGAGAGAGATGAGAGAGGAGAGAGGAGAGAGAGAGGAGGGAGAGAGAGGGAGAAGGAGAGGAGAGAGAGCGAGAGAGAGAGAGGGAGAGAGAGAGAGAGAGAGAGAGAGGAGAGAGAGAGAGAGAGAGAGGAAAAGGGAACGAGATAGGAGTTAGAGAGAGACGGAATGGAAACGAAAAAAGAAATATTCACACGGACATCCAGACAGATGGGCAGGCAGACAAACGACAGACAGACCCACGCGTACAGCCTACTCACCAGCACACTCACCAGCACTCCCGACAGGTGCGGCTTCAGCCCGGCCATGCTCAGGCCGGACGAAGCCCTTTCACGCTGAGGCCGATCGAATGCGATAATCGCTGCCCCATTCATTGCGCGACTCGCCTGGGCAACACACGGCCGTTGCTAGGTACGCGAGCTCATAACATCGGCAGGACGGCGGCGCCGGCCGGCCTGGGCATCACACGGCGGCCGCACAATGCCGGCCGCGCAGTAGGAAACAGTCAAGGCGAGCCGTTTGCAGCAGAAGACAGGCAGAGCGAGCCGTACGCAGCAGAAGACAGGCAGAGCGAGGCGTTCGCGGCAGAAGACAGCCAGAGCGAGCCGTACGCAGCAGAAGACAGAGCGAGGCGTTCGCGGCAGAAGACAGTCAAGGCGAGCCGTACGCAGCAGAAGACAGTCAGGGTGAGTCGTACGCAGCAGAAGACAGCCAGGGCGAGCCGTTCGCAACAGAAGACAGGCAGAGCGAGGCGTTCGCGGCAGAAGACAGTCAAGGCGAGCCGTACGCAGCAGAAGACAGTCAGGGTGAGTCGTACGCAGCAGAAGATAGCCAAGGCGAGCCGTTCGCAACAGAAGACAGGCAGAGAGAGCCGTACGCAGCAGAAAACTGGCAGAGCAAGCCGTACGCAGCAGAAGACAGGCAGAGCGAGCCGTACGCAGCAGAAGACAGGCAGAGCGAGCCGTACGCAGCAGAAAATAGCCAGGGCGAGCCATACACAGCAGAAGACAGGCAGAGCGAGCCGTACGCAGCAGAAGACAGGCAGAGCGAGCCGTACGCAGCAGAAGACAGGCAGGGTGAGCCGTACGCAGTGACCCACTGTCCTCCCCGCGGAAGACCCACACGTGAGTGTCCGACTGGTGTCCGGTTCCAGTGCGGTGCGGATTTCGGGCTTGGTCGCTGTCCCGTGCGTCGCCTATGTCTGGCTTGAACTGCGCGAAATGTCGGTGGGACGTTAAAAGACTCGCGGAGATTACAAACTCCCCAACCTATCTCCACTCTGAAACGGTTTTAAATCTCCGGGTATATCGGGTTTCATCTTAAGGTTGGAGGCTTGAAAAATACATGTAGCAATTTGGCGCTTCTAAGCGAGATGTTTCAATGCGTTCCACACGTGATATGACAAACTGCGCAATTGTTCCACGCTTCCTCCCCAGATTACGAAAAATGTGAAGCCGAAAGATATTGCGCCCCAGTGGTCATTTCGAGCAAATGAAAGGCCAATGACCCCATTAGGTCTGGAGATTTCGGGCATAGTACACAGAATCCTGCATCACAACTCGTCCAAACTTCAACCTATGATATTTTGGTTCAAGTTGTAACTAAAGACGGATTCAGTCTCAACCTAGGACATGCTTCAGCATTTTGTGAGATATTGCACAGTGTCGTAAAGGCATGCAGCTTAAGCTTGCATAATGCACACGATAGTCTAATCGGCATTTGCCTCTTTGGATTAAAGTCAGTCGCATAGGCCATTCATAACGGTTGATGCATCTGAAGTCAAGCGTGCGATATTAATTAGGTAAAGATAAATCTGGTCTTTTTCATCTGGCGAAAGCCAGATTTGAACACCAGTAACGTATAATTCAGCGACGATCAAGTAATCCGCCTTAACACGCGCCCTGGTGGCCGGCTAGATACCCTTTGCTCGGGTGGGGGGGTCAGTTTTACCCCCCTGAGATCTCTGAGATCTCGGAAACTAAGAAGGCTTGAGACACCAAATTTGCAAGGTGTATTGACCCGCACGTGAACTCACTTAGGTCAAAGTTTCAGGTTCCTAGGTCATGACCCTTGGGTTAAAAAGGTCCACCAAGGTCAAGTTGCAGGTTGGCCTCCAAAGTGCCCTCAGAATCTAGATAACCGTTTCTAAGCAAAAGGTGAAATGCTCATTCAACGTCTGTGACCTTTTTTTGACATTTTTAAAGCCAAGGCGACCAAAATCATATAAGACTGTTTTGAATTTTACATTTGACTAGGCGACAAAGATAACGCTAGGCAGTATGTTCATAAAACAAAATGCTGACTTGGGTCATTTTATGTCAATGACCTCTTCTGACCTATAAGAAGTCCATGGAAGATGTATGATGCGGTTCCTGCTACCAATAAATTCGAAATGAGCACCAGAAACTGTCCCATACAGCAAGTCCTAGGGTAACAAAACAGGTTGGTTTTGACCTTGGTGTGACCTTTATACCTGACCTTAGGTTACTGCAATTTGCTCATTCAACTGTTTTATTATCTAGGAAAGCATCTCAGAAATGTATGGAATTGTCTAACACTCCGTTGTTGGATCAGATTGGACGGTTCCCTAGAAATTGTCTTCGCTGAAACCATGGCCTGACTTTGACCTGCCATAGGTCAGCAACCTTAGAAGGTGCATCTAAATGTCAAACGATCCGCTATTCAATTGCCTATAGCTGTGCAAAATTTGGCGCGGCTACGCCGCGCCGTTCGGAAACCATTCTGGAAAAACCTTCGGGGGGGGGGCAATTTGACCCCCACCCGAGTGCGTGTTAAACGTCACCAGTTGTCAGAAGGTGATTCGCATGAGATCGAGCTCAGTCACTGGCCCTCCCAGGATAGAATCAGCGGGGCCAATCGAAGTATTATTCGTTTGGTTTTCAATTACGTGAGCTGTTAAGTGCATTTGCGAGGAACATTATTCACATAGGTAAGACAGTGGTAATAGCCTTATTCCTAGCAGAAAAAAAAAACTGAGGAAAATGGACATTTGAATGCGTTGATACTTCGCGCAACATGCCTTTATCGAAACGAATAGAAGGAATGCACTTTCACGACTAGCACTTATGATATTCGCTTCGATAAAGGCATGTTGCCGAAATATCGACTCATTTATATTTCGTAGTCCTGGTTTTTCTCGGAGGAATAAAGTTAGTACTAGTGTCATATCTATGTTTGGTTTTCAGTGCACCTGTTTGATGCAGACCTCCAATCAATCTCAATCAATCAATCTCAATCTCCAATCTCAAATCAATCGAAGAAATTAAAGCGCGGCCTTTCCCAAAGTCAGGATGAGAATTACAGCTGATGCTGTTATCAGGAACACCGTTGCCAGCACCCACGAACACAACATCGGAGTTGTATAATGGTCCAAAAGAACATCGGATTTGCAAATGTTGTCACAGTGCCTGTTCATGTTTAGGAAAACGCCTATTGTTACATTTATTACAAGTGTTCAGCCCGTGCAAAAACCCTGCTTCTGACAGCCGCACGAATGAGATATGCCAGCTGTGACATCTGTGACAACGTGGAGGGCTTGAGCATCCTGGCAAGATCAGTTCAAGCGTATGCTCGTATGATTAATGACATTTATATGTATGGTCATTGGTGCGACAGTAACCCGGGATGCACTGGTACGTTTTACGTCAAGTATCCGTGCATTTAAGCGGTAACATTTGTCCAGAGCTCTACAATTTGACTACGGTTTTCATTTTAGCCCCGAAGATGCGCTCTATGAAACCTATGGCAAGTGTTTGTAAATGGGTACTTCCAACCACATCCGAGGTGTGATATATGGCAATGTACTCCCTTTATTTATAATACAAGGGAGTACAGTGTCCCATATAGAACTGTCCCACTGTCCCATGTACACAAAATCCTATCATACGAGAACTGTATATCATCTGTTTCGCTCCTTGGCGCCTCTGTTGTGACTAAATCCTACAAACCTTAGATATTCTGTCGAACCTGAAAACCCAACTATGCTCTACCTACCTGTGATATCTTGCTCAAACGCCACTGATTTGATGTGTTTAACTGCCGTGTGGACATTAACCCTGGTCGTAAGCTCGACAATACGTGATGTGTGTTCTACCAGCTTGTGTCTTTCTGTTTCAAATACCAAATCAGTGGATTAGCGGATTGGGGTCGGCGAACTTGGAAAATTTAGCATTAATATTAAACCCAATATTTTTTCCTCACTGTTTCTGTCTTAAATCGCTGTGTATCACCCTGTGGCAGCATTGCAAAAATGAAAGCAAGCTTATAAGCCAGCCTGACCCGCCATCTTTCCAAACGTTCTGATATTGCTGCGAATCCACGCAATAGCATTCTTAACTTTCTTAACATTTCAACAGAAATATCAAATTAATGTATGAGACATCGCAGGCACCCCACTAGCAGGTCCCCAAATGGCCCTCCTCCGCCACGGCCGGCCCGTTCGCGGCCGTTCCTGCAGCCGACCTCCTCGTTGCGCCGCAGGCGACAGCGCCACCGCCGGGGTCACAGGCTCACGACCCGGACCCGGGCCCGCCGAGCCGGCGGAGTTGGCCGGGCCCGCTCCTCGGTCGCCCCGTCAACAGCCCGTCCGGTCGATGTGGGCCCTAACAACGGCCGCAGCCGTCGAGGGCGACGACGCCGCCCGTCGTCGCAGCCTGCCCGTTTGCAGGACGGAAGTGCTGTCGGTTTTAATGGCTGGCTGCGACCCCCTCATCGACTACGTCACGTTTTGGGGTGGGGTGCGGGTGGGGGTGAGCCGTCCCTCACCCTCGCCTGGAGTCGCCCGTGCGCCGCGCCGCCTCCCCGCGGCCGACGCTGACTCCGCCCCTGCGCGGCGGGTAACCAGGACCACGATGTCGGCAGCGGCCACCATGTACGGCATGCTCCAGTACTACCGGAACAAGAGGAGTGAGGGCAACACCACCCAGGTGGAGGGCGCCATCCTCACCCCCAACCACCAGGGCGGCCCGCTCAAACCGCCGCCGCTCAAGCGGGACATGACGCAGGTCAGTGGCACCCTCCCGGGCCGGTACTGCAACCGTACCGGATATCGTGCAACCCTGGATGTCGGCGGGCCCGCTCCAAACGGACGTACTCAGATAGCGGACTCCTCCAGGCGGACGTCTTTGGTTCTTGGGCTCCTCCAGACGGACGTCCTAAGCTAGCGGGCTCCCCCAGACGGATGTCTTCAGTTAGCGGACTTCTCCAGGCAGACGCTCACCCCTCAGAAACCCCTTCTCTCAGACGGAGACCTTTGCCAGTGCCCCGGCAGACTAACCCTCTAAGTCAGTGGACTCTTCCCAGACAGTCAGTGGCATCCCCACAGGCAATCTCCACATCACAGGACCCCTCCCCCTGGACCCCTCAGTCGTCTGACCTTCTCATGTCGGCGTGCCCGGCCGGACCGACGCGTCCCGACCCCCCGACGCCTCCAGTGACCCGCGCCGGCGCGCCGCTCGTTCGCAGGTCAACTGGCGCGAGATGGCGCTGCGGCGCCGCAAGGTGGCCGACTGCCAGATCATCGGCTGCGTCGTCACCTCGGGTCTGCTCATTCTGGCCGCGGGACTCGGCATGTTCCTGGCCGCCTGGTTCGTCCTCGGCAGTAAGTACACGCTTCGCTCGGTGACCTGTCTGACCCGCGTGGCGGTCGGGCAGTACTCGCTCGCTCGCACGTACTCGCTCGCAGCTCGCAGGTACTCGCTCGCTCGCAGTTACTCGCTCGCAGCTCGCAGGTACTCGCTCGCAGCTCGCAGGTGCTCGCTCTCTCGCAGGTAATTGCTCGCAGCTCGCAGGTACTCGCAGGTCTCGGGGTCGACAGTTCGAAGCAGGCCGCTGGGGGCTAGTTCTGTTCTGTTCAGTTCTGTTCGCCGCGACAGCCAGTTCTGTTCGCCGCGACGGTCAGGGTCTGCCGCCAAGGTCTGGGTCAGTCAGGCTCTCAGTCGGTCTGCGGAGGCCCGAGTCAGGCTCTCAGTTGGTCTGCAGAGGCCCGAGTCAGGATCTCAGTCGGTCTGCGGAGGCCCGAGTCAGGGTCTCAGTCGGGCTGCGGAGGCCCGAGTCAGGCTCTCAGTTGGTCCGCGGAGGCCCGAGTCAGGGTCTCAGCCGGTCTGCGGATGCCCGAGTCAGGCTCTCAGTCGGTCTGCGGAGGCCCGAGTCAGTGTCGTAGTTGGTGGGCGGGCTGAGTCAGTTCCGCATCGTCTAAATGACCCACCAGGGGGGCCTACTCGCACAGCAGTGACGCTTCCCACGGCGACGATCGACCCAGTGTTTGGGGCTTCGAATTCCTGGACAGGCCACATGGCCCAGGTAATGATGTCCGTGCTGGCCGTTATCCAGCAGTGGGCTCGTAACGGCCTGGAATATGACGTCACAGAGGACTCAATATTGACTGGCTCACCAGCGTCCTGGTACAAAGCCTAAGTCGGCCGTGACGACCATTCGTAAATGTGACGGTCCGACTGGAAAGAAACGGATCCACCGAGCGACGAAATAACTTTATACAACCATTGTATGGCAAGCGTGAACGAACAAGTCAAATTTCGATACCGCTGGACCATACACCCGCGCCGAGTCAATATCACCAGCGCCAAAGAGACGTGCGGCAGCGCGCTGTCTGGACCTCACCCATAACGAAGTCCTGGCCCGCATCAAACGCCTCAACAGCTGCCGTCGGCGTCCGCCAAACCTTGCCACCATCCCGCGGCCGGGCTGGAGCTGCCGCCAGTCCCCGGAAACCCTTCACCTCCGTCGGTCGGCGTCGGCAGCCGACGTGACCGCATTTGCCGCGTCATCGACGGCTGTCCGCGCGCGACGTGACCGCCCGGCGCGCCCGTCCGCAGAGGAGGACCCGTTCATCCTCATCGGGCCCGTGTTCGCCGGCTGCGGTATCGTCGTGCTCCTGCTCAGCGTCGAGGTGTGCGTGCGGCGGCAGAAGGTCATCAAACTCACCGAGGACCTCAGCTCAGGTCAGTAGCGCCGGCTCAGGTCACTGGGCTCGGGTCGCTGGGGTCAGGTCGCTGGGGTCAGGTCGCTGCGGTCAGGTCGCTGGGTTCAGGTCGCTGGGCTCAGGTCGGCGCAAAGCCAGCGGGGTTTTGTCGCCTCAGGGCGCGTTATAGCGAACGCAGGTTTATGCAAACTGCCAACGTAACGAGGAGTTCGATTCGCGTCAGCGTCATGGTGATCTCGGAACGGGCTGGCAGTCACAAAAACATTGATTTGAGAAGCTTTGGCTACTTGGGGATCATGTTTGTCATGAAAAATACAAACGGCCTGGGTCTGTTGGGCATTTAGGGGTCCCAGACCGACCTGGGGGGATCACTTTGTCCGTGGAGCCCTGGTACAGTTGATCGGTTACACGAATTGCTGCTTTTTTAACAAACAAAAAACAGCGTGATGTTAGCTACATATCTACCTAACTCGTCACTAACCACGTCCTGTTTTCCTTGGCTTCAGAAATCCATAAAGATATTCTCCTTGGAAGTGCTGCTGCTATTGGTTTTACTTGTTCCAAAACGCGCGTTGTCATACCACACCCACCCTGTCGAGGGTTACACCGAGCCTTCAGTTATTTCATAGGAGCCAGCTAAACTCTCATGGCAGCCTGGCATTCAGCTTATTTGTGTCGGTTTTTACTGTCAGCACCCCTGGCGTCGTCCCAGCCCTGAACCGCGCCGGCGACCCACATTTCGACAGGTGACACGCTGATGACCCCCTCCGGCACTACCCTGATCTCGCCTGATCCCACCTGACCCCGAGCTGTTCCTGCCTGACCGCAGCCTGATCCCACCTGACCCCGTCCGACCCCATTTTCACCTCTACTGATCCCACCTGACCACAGCCTGACTGCCTGACCCCAGCCTGACCCCGCCTGACCCCGCCTGACCCAGTCTGATCCTGCCTGACCCCGTCCGGCTCCATCCTGACCCTAACTGACCCCGCCTGAGCCCAGCCTGACCCCCGACCCCGCTCCAGACGAGGAGGACGGACACTACATCGACGAGGGGCTCATCAACTACGGCTTCGGCCACTTCCACGGCGACGACCCGGGAACGCCCATCAGCAGCAAGTCCCCCGCCCACAGCAAGTCCCCCGCCTACCGTTCGCCCATCGTGGTTCGCTCTCAGGCACAAGGCGGCGAAGACGACGAATCGTACAAGCCATCGTTTTGACGTACGTGTGCCGCGCTGGGATGACCGCCGGCACGTTTCGACCAGCAAGTGGCAGAGCACAAAAGATTTCCGGTGGCAGAGATGTTTGATACGCTTTTTTTAAAAAAAACATTTAGGCGCTGGTCCTCGTTGTGCTGTACTGTACTGTATGTGCTGTACTCTAGCGGTGCAGTACATTTGCTGCCAGCTGGTTGTGCGTCAGAGCTCCGCGCTTTATAGCATGTTTTACCGCGGAGAGGCGGGGGTTGACAGACCCAGCGCCTAGCTCGTCACCAGTCGCCGTCGCGTGGACCACATCCGCACCACACGTCCGCGCCTCGACGTCCCACCGGGCTCGCTGCGGCGCGTCGGCCGCGTCGAAGGGCTCCTTGAGTCAGTTGCGCGCCCCCTGTTCCAGGTAGAAGGGTCGCCTTCCGACCCGAGGACCGGCCCCAGGTGAACGTGCTGGCGCCCAACGCCGGACGTGCTCGACACCTCGATGAGCAGGAGGCCATTGAGATGCTGCTCTCGCCGGCCAGCGGCCGCGGATAGCTAGCCGTGCCCAGCGAGGAGGCGCTGTGGCGGGCACCGCCGCCGGCCGCGCGCCGGCGCCTCCGCGTGCGTCTCCCCGCTGGCGACGGCGACGATGACAGTCTGGGTGGCGAGGAGCAGCAAATCCGCGACCCGGCCGATGCGCGCGCGCGTGTTCCACGAGATCATGCAGGTGACGGCGCCGGCGGGGGAGGCCGCGCCGCCGCTGGCTGGAGAGGCTGCGCCACCGCCAGGCGGGAAGGAGAGGCCGCGGCGGGTGGCGCAGGAGAGAGCCCTGACGGCCGGCTCCGCCTGGCGCCGCTCCAGAACCCGGCGTCGACGCTCAGTAACCGGTGGATGGCCTCCGCCAAGAAACGGAGCTGACCCCGCTGGCCGCCTGGCGGCCGAGGACAGAACTAAGCCGAGGGGTTGTCGAGCGGCCGGACTGAACAGGCTGAACTTGATAGTCCGTCCAGCCGAGTCGGTGGACCATCTGGCGGCTGGGGAATTTTGAAGTGATGTGTGATGGGTCGCCACTGGTGGCGATGGAAGAGCTGGCCCGACCTGCTCGTCGTTGGCCAAGGAGGCGGCGAGGGGCGCATTTGGTGACCTCGGTCAGAGGGCCGCCAGGAGGCGAACGGGGTCGTCGGCTCCGTCGGTGCCGTCAGGACCGCGCCCGGTCGGAGCTCTCGTGGTGGACCGGCCAGGCGGCGACTCGTAGCGTGACCAGACCCTCGTGGTCTCCTCCGGGCCGAGCCGCGATCTGGTGACGTCACTGGGATTTTGGTGTGGTGCTGTCGTGGAAGAACACACACGCGCTTCCCTCGGAGGAGCGGGAGGTGCTGTGAATACTGGTGTGGAGTACCAGTGGAGGCGATAGACGTTCGCTCACTGGCAGGTGGCTGACTATACTGTGATATAAACCGCATTCGTCTATTTACCGTCACATCACAATCTCATCTAGATGAATCGGGTGGGTTTCTTGTTATCTAGTTATCACAACAGCACATTGTACAGATCTTTCAGTTTCTTCTCGCGTGACCTTGTGAGCGTAACAGCGACCGCCTAGGGGACGCCAGGTTTACGCGACACTGTACCGAAGATACGCGTTACATACAAATACGCGATACTGTACGCCCCCCCCCCCCCCCCCCCCCACCAGCGCGGAAGGGGCATGAGCTGGCGGCTGTGTAGCGCCCGGCGTGCTGTGCTCTGCTGTGTAGCGCCGGCCCGGGTCTCAGAGGCCCCCAGGGGGTGAGCGTTCGACAGCGTCAACAGTGTCCGGCGCGCCTTAGCTGGAATTGCCCCCTGTCTCCCATCGCTTCGTAGCGAGAGAGCGCGGCCTCCCAGAGCGTGTGCACCGCCGCACGGGGAGACGCCCACTCCGCTCTGACGCCTGCTGTCGGGAAGTTGCACGCGTTCCGTGTCCCCCGCTACCATGCCGCCACGCCCGCCTGTCCATGCTGCACGAGGCAGTCCGCGAGGCAGTTCGTGAGGCAGTCCGCGAAGCAGTCCGCTGTTATAACGTCCGCTCTCCTGATCAGGCTTGGTGGTGAAGTCCGCTGCTGGCCTCGCCTCCGTCGCTCGACCGCGCGCTCGTGATGTGTCTGGCTCAGCTGCCGGCAATCCCGCCACCTGTGCCTAGATGTGATCGATCGACGCAGCTCCGACCAACTGCGACGCCCCGCCCAGCGTCCCGTCCCCGTCGGTCGAATAAAGCTCCGGGCGTGCCTCCGGATCCTGTGTTTGGTTCCATTTGGTTCCGCGGGGCGGCTCGACCGCGGGGCCGCGTGGGCGTCCGGCAGCCGCCAGCGACCGACCGCCACCTCTCCACGCACACACTGGGGTCGGGTTGGAGCCGCAGAGCTGGCCCGGTCCGTCGCGTGCCGCGGCCGGGGAGCAGAAAGGCGCCGGCTCCGAACGGTCAAGATTCAGGGAAGTGTTTCAGAGCGGGAAGCAGCGCGGCATCGCCTCCGAGCAGTAACAGATTCAGACACATACTTCAGGGCGGGAAGAAGAACGGCATTAGCGCCCGAGTGGTACAGATTGAGACAAGTGCTTCAGGGTCGGGGAGCAGAGCGTCGCTCAGCTTCCGAGCGGTGCTGATTCAGACAAGTGTTTCAGGGGTCGGGGAGCAGAGCGGCGTCAGCTCAAAGCGGTGCAGATCGGACAAATGTTTCAGGGTCGGGAGCAGAGCGCCAGCTCCGAGCGGTGCAGATTCAGACAAATGTTTTAGAGCGGAGTTGAGGCTTCAGTTTCATACCAGACCCAAGCGGTCCATGTTGTGCGTGCATTACCATCGCAGATTTCGGACATCGACTCTGAGTTACTTTGACGGTGGCCGCTGGCGTCACCAACGTTACCACATGACAGGTGTATGACCTCTTAAATTAATGACGGTAGCAATTAAAGAATGTGACGTACCGTAACAGCATACGTAATCTATACCTACACATTTGGTGACGCGTCGTCTCATCACAAGTCCTCTACTCTACCCTGCTATCTTTCCACAACTCGGCTACTTGAGACTACCAGCGACTCTCTACTTACGACCCTGATCGGCCATCTTTCCATAAACGCGTCCATTAAGGCGATTACCGTTTTGGATGGCGTGCCTTACTGTACACTTCAGAACCATATTCGCGTACGTACCACACGCCTAGAGCAACAAAATCACGGCGCTGTTGTTGACGCTATCATTATATTGTAAGTCGGCTTCAGGCAGCCATGCTCTTACTTTAAGTGGATATTCCTGGCGTTTTATTTTACACCGACCGGTCGTGGAACCGGCCAGTGTTGCACAGTTGTCAGTTATTACTTATGCAAATAATCTTTTCTTCTCCGTCATGATCTCTCCAAGCCGAGGAAGCGCTGCACCAGCCTAGACTAGAGCTAGACCCAGACATGTATTATCCTCCAGAAATCAGCCCTGAACACAGCTGTGACACGAACTGTCCCGTCCCCTCTCAAACGCTTAAAAACGACCACCGCGCGACGCTTCTCGCGCTAAAACATGCCCACCGCATGGGGACGACTGCCGGTCGCGCCCGGCCTTTGGACGCAAGTCACCACGTTCATACCCGCCGCGGCCACTTCAGTCAAGGCGCCGCCACGCACACGCCGCCGGCCGCCTGACCGGCGGGACCCAGCACCGCCTGTCGCCGCACGGCCGGCCGCCTAGGGCGGCGCGTCTCCCGGCGATTCGGCGGGGTGGCGCCCCGCAGCGGCGTCCTCCGCTGGCGCCGGGTCGCTGTCTGCGGCTACAGGTGGTGCCACTGAGCCGCCAGCAGCCGCCAGTGGCTCTGGCGCCGCGCTATCCGCCGCAGCTGGGAGCTCTGGCGTCGCGCTCATCCGCCGCAACCATCGGCTCTGGCGCGGCGCTCTCCGCCCGCAACCATCGGCTCTGGCGCCACGCTCTCCGCCGCAACCATCGGCTCTGGCCGCAGCGCTCTCCGCCGCAGCCGGCGGAGAGCCACTCTCGCCACTCTCGGCGGCCGGCGCTGCCGACCCGCCCGCGCCGCCGCCGACTCCTGCCGCCTCCGCGCCACGGCCGCGCCTCCGCCGCGCCGTCCGCCGGCCGCGCCAGCTCCACCAGGTTGTATTTGCGCAGCGGCGAAGTATCGGGCAGCACGGCCAGACAGAGCACGTTACGGATGGCCTCCATGACGACGGGTGAGCTGCGGCTCGTCTTGTGGTCGAGGCGCGCCGTCGGGCACACGGCCTCGATCAGGCCCGTTCACCGCCGTCTGCGCCTCGGTCTGCGTCAGCTGCGACTGGTTCCGCGACCCTGCCGGCAGGGCGCTGCTGTCGCGGCGGCCCCCCGCCAGCGCATCGTACGGGACTTTGCTGGTGTGGAGATGTGAGCGGGGGGCGTGTTCGAGAAGTGCGCCGATTATATGACCCCCCCCCCCCCACACACACACAACCTATGTTGTTACGTGCATAAGTATGCATGCGAATACATCTTAAACACACTTTAACTTAAACTTAACTTAAACGACACTTAAACAATAGAGGTAGACGCGCAAACCGTGTATATTGAACACAACATGCCATCAAACCAGACGACTTGCAGAAAGCACATCGCCAGGAGGGGAGAGGGGAGGAGGAGGGGAGGGGGGCTGCGGAGACCGGGCCGTGCCGAGAGCCTAGTCGGCGGCCACTCCGCCACTGACCTGAACACGGTCGTGTATGTGGTGCCCAGCTCTGTGAATGCCTCCTTGATCATCTGCTCGGCCGTGGCACGAATATCCTCCTCCGTGGCCTAGCCGACAAACAGCACGTGAACAGCACATCAGACGCGCGCAAACAGCACATCAGGCGCGCGCAAACAGCACCTCCGTCCAAACAGCAAGTCAAGCGCGTGCAAATAGTACCTCCGCACAAACAGCACGTCAGGCGGGCTGTTACAGCACCTCCGTCCAAACAGCACGTCAGGCGCGCGCAGAAAGCACCTCCGAGCAAAACAGCGCGCCAGGTGCGGCGGCCAA